AAAATTTTTTATTATTTAATACTTTAAAATTACTGAATATAATTTTAGTAGTAAAGCAAAGTTTATCTAATTCATATATCTAAAAGATTTTATAAACTTGTTTAGCATATTTCTATACTATATTAGTTTATTGAAATTCTAAAGATTTCTGTAAAGTATTCTAAATATTCTTTATTCTTTATCTATTATCTGCTATACTTTTTAGTAGTTGTTCTAAGTAGTAGCATACTTCTAAAGTTTTTATAAATTAGTTTTACTATTTTTTTCAGTTTTCTATCTTTAGTCGAGTGATAATTTCTTTAAGCTTTTCTTCACAGATCAGTCTAACTAAAGAATTTATTTGAGTAAAAATTTTATTTTTTTCTATTGTTAAGTTATTAATAAGTTTAGTGAATATCTTGTTAGAAAATCCTAGATTTTCTTTGAGATTTGGTTCTTGCAGTAATAATTCTTTAGCAATTTCTTCATTCAAATCTTCTTGCTATAAGAGTATAGTTGTTTCTTCGGTTTTTAGAAATTTATCTAGTTTTATACTAGAAAAAAGACTTTTAAATATATCTGATTTATTTTCTATTATTTGGTCTAAAGTTTTTATTTCTATTAGCATTATTATTGTCAAGAAAATATTTGTTTTATTTATTATAAAAACTTGATTTCCTGTAAGAACTAAACTATGAGTTGTTGCTATTCTCTTCTCTTTCTTAAGCTCTTTTTACTTCTTTTTTAATATGTTTTAGTTTCTGAGTATTCTTTTGCTTTTTGATTTTTTGCTAGTACTTCTACTTCTTTATGTTCTGTATCTGCTTATCTTAGTTTGTTATTGTAGTAATATATTAAAAATCATAAAACATTTATTATATTTTCTTGCTTTTCAAGATATACTGTTGCACTTCTTATATTGTTATTGTTAAAGTTTTTGAAAATATATAATACTCTAGCTTCTAATTTTTTGATTTGTTTTCATAGCAATATTTCATTTGTATTCTCTGATAAGTTTACTAATCTTTTACTAAATCTTTTCTTGAATAAAGTAGCTCTAAATTATTAGTATCTATTATTATCTTTACTAGTATTTGGTTTATAAAAGACAAACACCAAATCTCATCTCTTCTTTTCTTATTATATGTATCTGTTTTGAACTCTATCTCTGCTTTTATCTTATCATATATATTTTTAATTATCTCTATATACTCAACTCTTCTCATAAAGCAAACTATCTTAAAAACTTTAGTTTTTTTTGCTAAGCTTAGTAGATCCCAAACTATAATCTTGTTTTTGTCCTTATTTAAGCCAAGTTCTTTTTCTTTTTTCTTCTTATGAGAACTTTTTCTAACTTGACTTTTGCTTGTTCTTGTCTTCTTTTCCTTATCTTTTGTGTAAATATTGCTTCAACTTTATCTTAGCTTTTAGAGTTTTCAGTAATTGTATTTTTTTCTATATTCTTTTCTAAGATTAGTTTTGCTTTTTCATAGTTTTCTTTTCTGCTCTTTAGTTTCTTTCTTGTTTCTTTAAAACCTTTCATACAGTCAAAAGTTAATATATATCAAAGGTTTTCTTATTCAAACTTTTCAAATATTTCTTTTAGATATATATTTTTTCTAATTGACTATTTTAATGACTTTTCTCTATAATTTTTATTGTTTTCAAAGACCTTGATAGCTGCTACTTTGGCTTTAATATTTCTTTTTTTTTTATAGCTATCTTTATTTAGTACTTATATGCTTCTTTCTGAAAAGAAATTTAACTTTGCTAATAGGATTTCATCTTCTAATCCTTCTGTAAAATCAATATACTGAACTAGGTTTGTTGAAAATACTTCTCTCTCTTGTATTTCTTTGATATCTTCTATTAAACAATATTCTATTTTATTTTTTCTATTTACTATTAATTGTTTATCTTTTATTAGCTCTTGTACTTCTAAACTATCTTCTGATTTAGTTGTATCTCTTGATCTACTATTTCTATATCTGTTCTGTTCTCTTATACTACTATTTTATCTTTCTTTTCAATTGCATCTTTATTTTCTTATCTTAATACAATCTTAACTTTGTTAATTTCTTCTGTTATCACTACTTCTTTTTTATTTTTTTTTATTCTCTAGCTACTATAACTATATTACTTTCTACTTCTAATATTTTTGCTATCATTCTATCTATATGATTTTCTAAACTTATTACTAACTTGTTATCTTTTGTTATTATCTCTTTACTATTCTCTTTAGTTACTATTTTAACTAATCTTATTACTTTAGCTCTATTCTATATACTTTATATATTTTTTTATTATCTAATCTATTTATCTCTTAATATTTTCTATATCTTTTACTATTATACTATACTTCTATCTACTATATCTTAAATGACTTTATCTTTTTTTCAAAAATCTCTAAATATTTTCTTTTTTGTTAGTAAATTAACTAGTTTTAGTTATACATGCTTAGTTTTTAGTTTTTGCTACATGATATATAAAATTACCTTATGACATATTTGTTTGTTTATCTTTTTTCATATATTTGTATTATGTGAAATAATTTGCAGTATAGAGTATATATTGTTTCTACTTTTTGTCAACAAAAAAAAATTTTTTTATAGTCTATTTTATATCAAAGTTTTTTCTAAAACTTCAATTCTCTTTTTATTTTCTTTTTTCTTAGTGGAGTTTTACTAGTTTCCTAATCTAGTTTCGGAGTTTTCTATAGTTTTTCTTTAGCTCCAAATTTGGTCCGAATGATCTACGGAAAGAGTGTATATTTTTCTTTGAATGAATATATTAATTTAATTAAATAAACTTATATTATAATAATATATTAGCTTGAATATAGTAATTGTAGGTGTTTTATATATTATAAAACAAACTAACAAAAATTTTTTTTTGTAAATTTGTTTATCTTTTTTAACTTTAATATTTAAAAATTTATTAATTTTTTGTAAATTATTAATTTTCAAGCTGATAGCTTTCTAGATTTAATACAATGATTATTTGAATAATATAAAGATTTTTTAATAAAATTATAAGCTTTTTGCTATATATACTTCAAAAAAATCTAGTTAGTTTTAGGTCTTTTACTATATCTCATATTATTTAGTAATAATATTTTAAGATTCAACTTGTTATTATCTATAGATATTATTATATCTAATAATATATTTTATACTTTTAAATATATTAGTTGACAAAATTACTCTTATACAAGTTTTTTAATAATATTTATAAATACAGTTAGGATCAAATTTAATAAATCAACTACATATTCTATAAGTTTATTGATTTTTTATTGTTTAATATCAAATTCAATATTTAAACTATTATTATTGCTATTATTATTGCTATTATAATAATAGCTATTTTGATAGCTATTATTATTATTATCATTATAGCTATCTTTATAACTATCATTATAGTTATCATTATAGCTATCATCATTATTTGTTTTAGTAATCATTAATTTTTTGAAGATTTCATTAATTACATATATTTTTTATTTGTTGTTATTGTTTAAATATTGTTTTAGTTTATGTTATATTTTTAAACCAAACAGTAATATTTTTTAATATAATTAACAAAGATATAATTTTTTAGTTAACTATATAAAATTTTTATATCAAATTTTTTTTTATTTTGTAGCTCTTATTTCTATTTTTTTCATAACAATCTTAGTTTTTTGAATTTTAATAAATTTATTGTTGTTACATTTTAGATAAAGCTTCTTTACTTTGCTGAAGAAGTAGCTACTTGTAAATAATATAATTGAAAAAATGATATTATTACAATATTCTAAACAAGTTAAAATATTTTTTATAACAAATTAAACTTGCAATTATTATGTTAGTTCAAAAGAAAACTGTATCAAAAGTTGTTATTACTTATAATAAATTTGGATCTTCATAAAAAATATTTAATTAATAAATTTTATATATACTAATGCAGTTAATATTATATATTTTAGTATGTTCAAAGCTTTTTTGAACATATCCAACATCCAAACATTCAAATGTTCAAAGTATTCAAGCTGTCTATAGCCTTAAATATTTTAGAAATTAAAATAAAAATTATATGATTATTTTTTTTTTTAATTCTAAACATTTTTGCTTAAGTTTAAATAGGTTATCTTAATAAAATTTTAAATAAATTCAGTTTATTTTTTTGTTCAAGATGTCCAAGATTATATTCAAAAGCTGTTCAACGACAACACTGTGTACAGCTACTTATGGTTTGATTTGATTAGTTTGATGATCACCCTAATGCAACGGGGGGGGAAGCTTTGCTATAATAGAGGCTTTGGCAATTGATCGTCGCTTCTCAGAAATTCTTGGATCTGCATCCATCGATTGTCCCATCAACGATCTCTTAAACCTTCTAAGCCTATGACTATCTAATCCTGTTTCTGGAGGCGCAGTTTCATCAGCTTCATCACATTTTTGAAAATGTCACTTTTTGCCCGTGACAGTACAAAAATTTATAAGTAATCAGGTTACATACGTTACGTGCAAAAATTTATGAATTTTTGATCAAATAGTCACTTTTATTCTCAGTAATCATGCACTTCCTTAAATCATCACTGGAATTGGAGATATGTGGAACTTAACATAATTTTTCTATAATGCAAAAATGGGCTTGCTTACATATAAGTGTTTTTTTTTATTTGAGTTTTTTTGTAAAGTTGTAGAGACGATTATTTTGTTCTTATGATGATAAAACAGTCCGAGATACTGTTTTTAATTTTTTTACTATACGATTCCATCTCTATATGAAAGTATTGGTATTACTACGCGACTTTTGCTATGAAATTTATCTCTTTAACCCTTTAATTTATCTGTTTTTTTTTTTTTTTTTTGCTGCCGTGATATATTTGTTAATTATACTTAGTGAAATTATCAGAGGCATCAAATTTTATGTTCTATTAGCTAGCAACCAAAACTTAAATATTTATTATTGTCGAACTGTAAAAGAAATTTTTTTTTTTGTAATAAAATCATTAGATTTTATATATACAGTATAAATCATTCTTTTTTTAATAAATGGGCAAATTTAGGGTCATTAAACCTAAATGATTCGCCGCTCATTTCTCGAGTAGCACCACCTACAACCAAAGCAGCCATAACACGACTCGGATCATCAGGATGAACTAAGGTCTTTGACTCATAACGATTTATATAATTTTGATAATCTGTTTGTTTCATTTCTGCCTTCAATCCTTTTAAAGGTATTGTTAAATTAAAAAGTGTACAAATATTTATGAAAATAACTAAAATATTGAAAGACGTACCATTTTCGCGTATATTGACTTGCATATCTGTATCAACAACACCAGGAAGAATTGATACAGAAATTATATCAGGTTCTTCGACGGCAATACATTTTATTAACATATGCAGAGCAGCTTTTGATCTATTTGATATAAAAGGAAATAAGTAAATAAGAATCAAGTATATTAAACAATAAGCTAAGATCAGAATAATACGTTACGTGCAATAAGGGGACCAGCTTTGAAGAGCATTAAACATAGCACCAGAGGAAACAGTGATAATTCGGCCTCTCGAAATCCGAAGGTAAGGTATTGACTTTTGGATTAATAATATGTTGGAAAAAAAGTTTACATCGAAGTGACTAATTATTATTATTATTATTATTATTGAAATCAATTATTGAACAGTTATAATAAGAATTAACGACAAAATAAGACTTAATGTTACCGTTTCAAATCTTGTAAATTAATATCAGAAATTTTACCCATTGGATCTATTATACTAATAATTGATAACTTTTAGATAACCATTCACAAAGAGCATCAATATATAATAACATACCCTGCATTGGCGATAATACCGTCAATTCCACCCCATCGCTCTACACATCTTTTAACAACCTCTTCGACAACGGGTTCTTCGGTAATATCACCGGTAACAGTTTCCAGTCTTCCTTTCACACCTAGAACATTTTCAACGTGAGTTTTCAGATTTTTCAAGTCTTCGCTTGAGCGTGCAACAGCAGTTACATTACTATTGAGTTTTAATAATTGCAGAGTTGTTGCACGCCCTATACCGCGAGAAGCACCCGTTACAATTATTGATTTTGACATTTTCTAAAGGTTCCTCCATTTATGAATTTATGATTACTTATTATATTTATAGATCTGTAGAAACACTACATAATATTACGTTATACAACATTGGATCCAACAATTTGGTTGTCTTATAAAGTCCTGAGTTAAACTATATAAAAAATTTTTACAGTAAATGTAATATCTGATATATCGAAAAGGACCAATCAGAACACGTAAACGTAGCAAAAGTATAAAATAATAACGAAATTGAACCGAAGTTTCAAATGCAATATAAAAAAAAGCTATGTAAACTGTATAGATTACTTAAAAAAATATGATTAGTATTAGTGTGACACATATTTTAAACAATGATTTATTAGAAAATATATATTTATTAATTGAAAAAATATTGACTGTTTTTTACTAATTCTATATCAAAAGTTCCTCGACTTGGTAATTCTGGAAAAGTCAAATCCACCCATATATGTACATGCTTTGAAGATTGTTTTTTTTCATTTAATTTTAGTTCTCTTTCCCCTTCTTCCGGAGGTTTTTGTGCGATCTTAGTTAAATCATCCAAATTTAGGGTATCTTCATATTCATTATCCATTATTACTATAGGTGGTATTGTCTTAGAATTATCCGACTTTCCTAATTTAAGTTTCACTAAATCTTTTCTTAACACTTTAACAGGAACTTTATAGCCTTTATAACGTTCAATGAATTCATTTCGAAGATTTTCCATTATTGGCTGATTATGAAGTTGAAAAAATTGTTCGCGTATAATGTTATTCATAGTTTCCACATCGCATGCATGAGACCAATAACTATCATGTACAGAAGCGAATGTTAATCCTTTTTCTTTACATGCAAGAGCAGTCATAAGCATGTGTGTAGCATCGAGTGAATGAATAAAATTTGGAGGAAATGCCGCTCGTTGTTTAATACTATTTACTGGACTAGGGGTCTCAGAATCTACAATGTTAATGGATTGTAGGTGAGTTTTGATTTGCCTCTTGTTTGGCCTTCGATACGGTTGAACGATTGGCAAATCTAACGGGGTTGTCCAAACCACTGCAGTCATTTGATCAGATGATGATCTATTGGGCGGAATTTTAACTATGGATTTCTTTAAATACTTTTTTTGATGATCACTGACTTTTATTTCAGATAAATTGTCATTTTCATCCTTAATCTCTTCAGCAGACTTTAATACGCGCTCGGGTGGTACGCTTTTCGCAATCCGCCTAGCACTTTCATTTAACCATTCTTGGATGGATTTTGCTCCTTTAAAAATTTCTTCTAAACCAGTAAACACAAGTTTTGCAACATAATGAGATAATTCATGAAGTCGATCCTGTGGTATACATTCGTTTTCTTCGAGTTGAGCTTCAATTTGCAATCGAGCTCCGACAAATGTAACACCATACACGGTTGTCATTACAGTTTGTTTAACAACTTTGCGAGTAATATGATCATATAATAGTAAAGCTTTTTCATCACCCATATCGGCATCAATTTTGATCAATTCTTTCACCCGCTTAGCAACTGCTGAATATATATCAGATGGAGAATCAGATGGAGCCAGATTGACTTGAGACGCACCTTCCAAGTCACCACCAAGAGCTGCGTAGTGTTGTAATCCATTGCAGGTACCATCCTGATGTACCGGAATTTGTGATTGATATTCTTCTGGAAATGGTGAACGTATTGCTTCAGTTAATTCAATACATGCTGCTAAGCATTGCCATGGGTCTTCGGCTTTTTGCCACCAACGCTTTCCTTTCAAAGGATAATCAGCAGAATCCATTATCTCTGCAATATTTTCGTCAGCAAATGCTTCTCGCTCTTCAAAAGAAACTTTGTCATTTCCGTATAAATTTGCCAAATGAATTTTAAGCCATTTTAAACCCGTTTTTCCTAATGGTTTTTTGTCTTTAAACACCAAAAAACCACGGCATAAATCATCACCCATATGATTCAAATATGATGGAATAGGGTATGCACGACCGCGAAAATCAAGACTATGAGGAAAGTACATTGGTTCGTCAAGATACTTCAATAAGAGAATGGATAGATAGATTACGAAATAAATATGTATTTTTTAAAAAAATAATAATCGTAATAATAGTAATATATATATTAATTAATAAAATAAACGGAATGATACTCACAGCACCGGCAATTTCAACTTTATAATTTACCATACATCTTAAAGAATGATTATTGCGTATCTTATTGTTAATATCTCTGCATGTCTTAGCCCATTCAATTCTCGATTTAACGTTATTATCGAAATCATCGGGTTTTTTAGGAATTTCCATATTTAAATCAGCAGGTGGGATGTCAAGAACACCTTCACCGCTATTCCAAATTTTCAGAACAATTTCGTATACCTTTTTGTTCACTGACCAACACGTAGAACCAAGGACATCCAAGCCAGCAAAAACATGTTCCAAGTGTGAATTATCAGAAGCTTTTTTCAGATATGCAACCTGCTCAGGACAATCCTTTATTCTCATGGCAAGAGCTAATTAAAAGACGATTTTTAAAAAAGATGTAAATACATAACAACGATTATTGGAAAGCATTTCAGGAGAATAATAGGAAATATCTCATACTTGGAGATGTCAAATAACCACCACTATTGAAAGTCAACCAAGGCCTTGGGATAATCAACATTGGCAACATTCGAGGATGTAAATGATCTCTAATGGATTCATTAGAAAGCCATTTTATTAACTGAGGATTAAGCTTGATAACCCCGACTTTTTTACCTCTATTATATTCATAAGAATGAAAAAATGCTGGTGCCTCTTCACTTCTATTATAGACCAATTAATGACAAAAAAAAACATCAATAATAGATACATAATAATAATCCACTAATTAATAATATTAAATTCTTGCATTATTTTTCCAGTTGCATCAGCAGTCGAGACAGTAATATGGGCAATTTTGATCAGGCTAGCGGCCAAGAAAGACCCAACCTAAAACGAGTAACATAAACAATGGGTCATAAATAATGTCATTGTTAATGTTTAACATATTTTTGTCGAGCTGCCCACCTTAACTCTTATTGTCGATCCCCAATCAGGTTTCCATGATGTTTCAATATCTTCTTTTTCAATTTTTCTCGCAAACCGGCGAATTTCCATATTAAATAATTTCCCGGATGCAAAAAGTTCATGAATATTTAAATCTTTATAGAACTTTTAAATAATCATAAAAATTTTATCAATGAACAAAATGTATAATAATGGCAAATCACTATAAGCTATATTAAAATATTAATAAATACCAATTTACGATTCTGTTTCTTTATCAGTTGTTCTGCATTATATTCACTCTCTACAGATTTGCCAATTGCCATAATAGCAGCAGTTGTTGTCATTCCTTCCACAACCTCACTATCACTAGTTCGACGCAGCATTTCCAATATTGTAATGGCAGAAAGTTTATCCGCACTTAACAATCGCAAGAATGTTCCAGTTTGTGAATCAATGCATTCATCATCTTAAAATAAATCACAAACCAAATTTAAAACAAGTATAATAATATAGATCTAAATTAAAATCTTAACTACGAGCGTACCTTCCTCAATTTTCTTAGAAATGGTTTTTTTTAATTCCGATTCAATCAAAGGAACGAGTTTTTCATGCCAATTCCACATGGCCCTTCTTAATGAAGGTACACCAGCGAAAGCATCACCTCGTTTACGCATCTGTTCATAATCATGTTTCCAACGTTCAATAGCTCCATGCAACGCGTTTTCCTCTAACTTAATCTGACGATCATATTCATCCAATCCTTTTTCCTTCAATGCTTCAAGAGAATTTTTCATAAGTTTAACTCCAATTGCCTGAAATTTGTTTTATATCAAAAATAATAAATTTATATATAGAAAAAAAAAAACATGAAATGTACGGGAAAACTATTTTAATACCTTTGTTGGAATAGGTTCAGTAGTTAAAGGGATTGTTTCACCTTCAAGTTGTTTCAAAAGTCGTTTTGAAAGACCTGATTCCTTATCTGAATTAAGTAACTAAATAGAACAAAATCGAGAGTAATAATAAATAAAACAAAATATTTAATAGAAACAGAATTATTTTCAAGGTTACCTCAAACAATTTTTGTGTATCATCATCAGATAATAAATTACTTTCTATTAATTGTTCAAATCGAAATCCTTTGTCTTCCATTTCACAAACTATAACTTGAAGCATCGTTGTACATTGAAAATCCTCACTCTTTCTATAATAATTAGTAAAAAAAAAAAATTTTTTTAAATTTTAATATAAATATATATATCAAACGCGAAGAGAACGCGTATTTCGAGTATAAAAAAAAAAATATGTAACACGAAATGTTGATTGATTTAGAAATTGACCTCAAATATCCTTTCACCAAGATTGAAAATGTGACCAGATTAGGATTTACGTGACATTTATCACACATTCTATCTAACCAAGTGAATGCTAAATTAAGTTCTGGAACAGGCGCATCCAAAAAGGCTTCTATGAATGCGTTATGTAAGTTAACATCTAAGAGATGTTTCATATCCATAGGACCTTTACTTTCTAAATATTCTAAGATTCTTTTGGCACGCTCGATCTGTCCCAATTTTAGACATGCATATAATACAGCAAGATTTTCTGAAAAAACGTGTGGAAGAATTTTCCCGTCATCTTTAAGTTGACTAGGCTGTGGTAGGATCACTAAAGGTTTATCAATGTTTAAAGTTTGTTGAAATGTTGGAATTTCAGGAGGAACAATTGCAGTCGAAGAAGACGAGACAGTATCCTGAAAGACAGAAGAATAATATCGAATTCGCAAAGATAATGCAGTTTGAGAAGAATATGTACGCTTATATGCTAGTGTGTTGTAATGGAAATTATTTCGCCGAAGAAAAGATAACATTATTTTAATATCTTCACGAACAATTCATAAAGTGTTAAAAAAAAAATTATCAACGCTCACGTGAATTTTATCAGAAAAAAAAAAAAAAAAAAAGATTTCAGATGTGGTCACGGGATCATAGATTTTAATAAAATTTTCATGACTACGTTCAAAAGAAACGCAAAAAAAAAAAAAAAAAAAAAAAAAAAAATCGCTCATACTGTAACTCTGAAATTTAGTCTATGAAACTACCTTCTGCGCACTATATAAAATTTTGATACAAGAAACTTTTCTTAAACACTACAAGTTATTAACCCTAACCCAACAGCACGAAATTCTTATTGCGAAATAATTTGAATGGACTATGAATTTTAGTGATTTTAAGCAAAACTTAGCAATGTCGACCCATTCCCAACTGGAATTTGGTCGATTAGTTTCGCCACTAATCTATTCAATGTACACAACGATACAACGGATCACATTATAAGGTGAAACTCTGCACAATCTTCGCCAAGTAACACGAAAACAACAATCAATTTATACGTATATGTTAAAATTTATCTGCTAGGAAACTCCTTATTAAAATACGTTAAAATATAAACTAACAATTAGATATTATCAGATAAATTTATAATTTCGAAATTAAGTGAATTATTTGGTATAAATACCTTAGCTGCTTTATTAAATTTTTTATCTAATAATAATAAAGTTCAAGAAAAATTGTAATTCGAATTTTTAATTATCGTTATTACGGTTTTTATCGTTATGGTCCTCTTGGTTTATTACCGTTATGGTCGTCTTGATTATTATGGTCCGGATGTAAACCAAATCCGAATGGTGCCTTTTCCTTATTGCATATCTCAAACCTCATTCAAGAATCATGAAAACTTTATATATATTATCCTTGAGTCGACATCGATTATTTATCATCATATTATTGTATGTGTATGCAAAGAGAAATAATTAAAAAAAAGTTAATTTATTAATCCAATCTGATAATTCAAAGAGCATAAAAGTTAGAGATTTTATTTACTTGATAAATAATATTTAAAGGTATTTATCTACAACTGAAGTTTCGTTTTGAGCTTTTTATTTAGAAGGCAACTGTAATAAATGTAGTTAAATCTTAAAAGTATAATACAGTAATACGTATAACTAATAGCCAATTAGATGAATTCTGATACGCGTATTTTTTTATTACGTGACGTGAATTTAGAAAATTTTGTGGTGATATGCACCATTACGTAATTTTTCCTAATCTGTAATTTAATATCGTGTCCATTTTTTTTTTTATATCGCGTCGCATCTACAAAAAGCACATATTTGCAGATCTCAAATAATATATACGTGTTTATAAAAAAAGGTATATAATGGTCTATTTTTTCCCTTTATCATTTTTCAAAACTTTCACTTTTTTTTTTTATATATTCTATAAGTTTATTGATTTTTTATTGTTTAATATCAAATTCAATATTTAAACTATTATTATTGCTATTATTAT